AAATTAAAATAATTAGTAGACACTGTAATTTATTACATTGATATAATATTAATACATATTAATTAACAAAATTAAATTAAACTTAAGCATCTACCATGTACAGTTGCTGCTGCATTGAACTCGTCGATTACAATTTATTTCAGAATCTATAACTCGATTTCTATCAATTTGTAAGTTGTAACATAGCTATATCAGACAGCCATTCTTGTCCCACAGTTGTTCTGAGGTAAGTTTTAAGCCTTTGTAATCAGGAAAAACTTCGTTTACAAGATGATAGTGTTTGTAGGTATTGTCATAAATAGTGTTAAAATTTCAGATAATAAAGGACACCTATTTTTAATTTCACCTTGTTTTATATAATCTAATTTGTTTTAAAATACACTATTATTTGAGTTAGTTTGTTTAGATTTGAATATTCTAATAAAGATTTTTAGTTCTATTTGAAGTTCATGATTATAAAACTTATAGGTGTTACTAATAATGTCTAATAACGTTAACATTATTTTATAAATATTTAAAAAATTGGCAAAATTATACATTATAAATATAGAAAATGTAGGGGGTGCAAAATGATAGTTTTGCACCCCCTCAACAATTCCAGGGGGTGCAAGTGCACCCCTTTGCACCCCCGAGATTACGCCTATGAATATACATCATAACCATTACAATTTCTATTCGATAATGAGATAATCACTAATTCTGCGGTTCAGCAAGATCTAAAAAAATGTAGTTATTTTTAAAAGTTCACCTCTATATAGTGGTAGTTGTTGCCTCGTATTAATCGTTCAAATTATAAAGTGTCAATATGCATCAGAAATCCATCAACCCCCCGCGAGTATACATGTACTGCAATCGAACCGTTTGGTACATATTAATACAATTATGTCATGTCATTACGACGATACATCATAATAATATTATATTACAATGACACAAGGTGATATTTTTAATTTAAAAGTATAAACACTTACTTTCTTGAAATATATAAAAATTGGGGAAATAATTATTTTCATTATTTGAAGTATTTAATAGCACTGAGTATCATATGTTGTACTAAATATTTACTAATATAAATACAATGCAGGTTACTATTAAATATAGTAGTACCAACAATATTACCTAGTAGGTAATTAAAACACAACATTATGAACAAAAATTTTTTTTCACAACAATAATGTTTATTATAAAGGTCCATTTCCCAGGCACCCCCACTTCCGAATTTTGATCGGTTTTCCTCGGTTTGGATTGGTAAATTCATTATCAACATTAATCTGTTTGTTTGATCAACAAGGTTATTGTTTTGTTACTATGTGATTTATCAGTTCTTCGACAGTCAACAGTTTTCTTCTTTAGTGAGTTCTAAGAGTCCACTTGTTGTGGTATTGTTATAGTTATTATATTGTTGATTCCCGCCATATTTACTCAGTCTGTAGGTACAAAATTATTGTTGTGAGTAGGTACCTACTTCTATGTGTCGAATATTCTTTTTTTTATAAATTGTTTTATAATATTGATTATTTTTCCGGTTAAGGGTCTTACTCGGTGGGCCTTACTAATTTCATTATCAACAATTATTATTATTGTTATATACTGTGACGGAGGAGATACTGATTTTGTAATTTGTATTATTAGTTATAACTTATAATTACTACCTATCATTATTGTCATATTTTTTCTTGACATGCCTCTAAATAGTACCTACTATTACAATATTGACATATATTGTATTGAGTCAACCAGACTAAAATTAACTTTAATTATTATTTACCAATTAATTTGAACAATTATATGTATACTTCCGTATGTCTGCAGATACGAGCTTACTCAGTTGGTACACGTTTCAGCTCTTAATATAATTATTGTTATGATTGTATTACAATTGAATTCTGCTGAAATAAATAAACAAATACATCGATGGTGCTCGGAAAAAACTTGCTAAGTCTAAAACGGTCTAAGTCATACATCGATTTACCAGTTTTGTTATACACTTATGAAAAATATAACATTTCACAAAATTAATTTTTTGTTTGAGAAAAACCAGTTATGTGACTTAGACAATTTTGTACATACTATTAAACTTAGCAAGTTTTTCCCAAGCACCATCGAAATACTATATTTTTAAACACTTTTGTTATATTGTACAGTACTGTAGGAACCTATTACAGTCCACTAACACCTTTATAATATATCAAAGTAATAAGTATGCAAAGTATTGTAGGTACCTACTTTTTATATCTTAAATAAAGGACATTTTAATATATTATTTTACTGTGGAAGAGACTATCCTTAATATTGACAGACACTTTCGCCACAAATCGCAACAATGATGAATGTTTACATATGCGCAAATAGGGGGGGAGGCTTTATGGGTCCGTCCCTTCATCTCAAACTCTATTTATGACTATGAGTGTTTACCTGCATTATATTATAATTTAATAGAAGAATTATTTTGTATATTTACAGTAATATTATTATATTATATTTTATGGTGCTACGAAACAAATACACCGACAACTGCTGCAGTGCACACGACCAACTGCGAGTTAAGAGGACTTGATACCCTCATGTGTTGTCTCCGTCTTACAAGTGCATCACATAGAAAATTTTACGCTCAGCAAAACAAGTGTAGCTCCGTTAGATTAAAAATTATAGTAAATTTACCTCTAATAAAATCGAAAGGTAGGATTATTATCTAGACAACCTCATGAGCTTTTTATTATATTTTGATTTTCAAGCGAGTTATGAGTACTTTAAAATGTACAAACAATTTACAATTTTAAAATACTCATAGCTCGCTTTAAAATTAAAATATAATAAAAAGCCCATGGAGGTTGTCTAGATAATAATCTTACCTTTTGATTTTATAAGAGGTCAATTTAACCTAATTTTTAAATTAACGGAGCTACACGTGTTCTGCTTTGCATAGCATTTGCTATGTTACGCACTTGTAAGACGGAGACAACACAAACGGGTATCACGTCCTCTTAATATAACAACTGTACAGCACTGCTAATACTTCGTAATTGAGTTCGGTTTTTTTTTCCATTCCCACGGTTAATGATATGTTTCCGATGTTGGCAATAATAATAATTAGAAAGACGGCACGCTCAGATGACAGGTATACGAATCCGTGCTATATGGTGTACCATTCAACCTATATAATATATATTATATATTGTAATAGCGTCGTAAGATATGTCAGAAAATTCTGGACCTATATAATATATATATGTTATAGCGTGTGTTGGAAATTGGAATAGTATAATATTATTGGCCATCACGAATTGTTTTAGGTATGGGTAATAATATTTGCACAAGATATATTTGGCGAGTAATTCATCGAGTACTTCATTAGAGCAGTCAGTTAAAATAATTATCATACGCGAAATAAAAGTGACCAGTTTCCTCTATTATAATTTATAGCTATCACTATACATTGTATTATTATTGGGGCAACGGTTTGGTTCAAACCAGGGACTGGAACTTTTTTAATTTATCGGTATCAGTTTCGGTACTGGTTTTCCAAAAATAAAGTAACTGTTCTGGTTCGGTTCTAGTTCTTGATAAAAAAAAAAAAAAATAAAGGTATAGGTTCTAGATAATTTAAATAACGAAAAGTATAATAATTTTAAATACTTATCCGGAATGAGGGTTTAATTAGTATGAGAAATATTAGAAAACTCATATGATTACACAAAACTGTAATACCATTAAATTATGATAAATAAAATTATTTTATTTTTGAACCTAAAAGAACCTATTTAGTTTAAAAATTCTGGTACGGTTCTGGTACTTTATTTATTAAAATAAAGGTTTCGGTTCCGGTTCTTAATATTTTAAATGTCCCAGTTCCAGAACCGCTTCTTTTAGGTTCGGTTCCAGTCCCTGGTTCAATACACAACAGTATTAATAATTTTCAACATGACCATGCAAGATTAATGTATTTTTTGATTATTTATTTATATTTTATTTTAAGTATGTACTTAAAGTAATTCGTGTACAATTATTATATTAAGTATTTTTATCATTATTATTTTTAAGAAGTACCTACGTATATTATACTTAATTTCATAATATTGTTCGTATAAACATACCACCTTCTGTATATTATAATAAACTGTTATTGCAACGCGTTTTGGCTGAATTCTGTTGTCCAAATTTACACTTCTCCAGTTTTTTTTTTATAATTTTATTACGGAGTGCATATCCGCGAACGTCTGTAGATGAATATCACGAAATTTTCAGAAATTAAGAAAGACAGATGATGCACTTCTGTCTTATCACAATATCTAATAAATAAACGTCATGATATATCATATTGGTAATATTATTATTTATTATCCACTCGAACGATCCCCACCAGTGTTGTATAAAGATAATTTTTTAATTATCTAGATAAAGATAAAAGATAATTGACAGAAAATTTATCTAGATTAAGATAAAAGATACATCACAATTTAATTATCTAGATAAAGATAATATATTAAAAATTTTTATCTAGATAAAAAAAAAAGATAGTTGCTTAATAGGTAAGGTATCGATCAGTAATCACAAAACTACATTTTCCTAAAAAAATTATTTAATGTTTTTTAATAAAAGTTCAAATAGTAAGCATAGCGCAATTTTTAAGTTAGCATAAAATGTTAAATGTGATATGAAAAACACAAGTTAAAAATTAATTAGTCAGAATTTCCTTTATACTTATATTTTCAATTTTTAATATTGTATTAATGAATATAAGCAAAACATAATATTACATTTATGCAGCATATTTCTTAAAAATAAAATAAAAACAAGTACCAATGTTTGTTATATAAAAAAAATAGTATATACAAATCTAATACTAAAATATAGTTATATCTTATATATCAATGTACCCAAGTAAAAAAAAAAATTATACATGTAACATACTAACATGTGTACATTTAATAACTAAAATAACTGTATATTTAAACAAACCAAATAATAAAGATTATAACACAAATCAAAGAACAAAAAAATTATTGTTGTCTATCATTATTATTTATAAGGAAACACCTACAACATAGGAGCATTTCAAATGTTTTATCATTGAGTCTATTACGCCTCGGAGTTAAAATTTGAGACCCACAACTAAATAGACGCTCCACGGGAGCAGAAGATGGTAATGTTGTATTATATTTAAGAAATATATTTTTTACAATGGGATAAGAGTTCAAAATACTTAGTTCTTTTTCTTTTAAATCTAAATATGACAAAGCTTGCACGTTAGCTACATTTGTAGATGTAGAAGAAAACGGTTCACAATTATTTTCATTAAGAATATTATAAAAGTCATCGTCATCGTTATCAACAGGTTCTACATTTGAATCTAAATTGTTGGAAGATAAATTTAATGAATTGCATTCAGACAAGAATAATTTTTTACATACTGACATAAATCTTAAAGGAATACAATTTAATTTAAATTTTGGATGACTTATTGATGACAATATATAAGGTTTGCTTTTTAAATGTTCAAGATCAAATACAAATGGAAATCTTTTTTCCAGACTTTGAACTATCAATAATGATAATGGCTTACAATAAACTAAACTTGTTAAATTAAGTAACTTCAGTCTTAATGCAATTATTGTGGGAATAACATAGCCCAAAAAACATGTTTTTTCATTCTGTAATTTATCTAAAGAAATAGCTAACGGTTCCATTACAGTACAATATTCCTCTAAAAATGACCATTCACATAATGTAAGTTTGCTTAATTTCAATTCATCAAATGTGGATACCAGTTTATCTTTATAAGAAACTACTTTTTTAGCAGCAAAGAACATGGAATTCCACCTGGTAATTATAGGAACAGGAAATTTACAATTACACACGTCTTCTACTTTATCAGAAGCAACAGTGCTTCTACTCAATAAGTTCCAAAACGAATTAAGCTTCTTGAAAGTTGCAGTTGAAATTTTATTATAGGACAAGTTGGATATTTTAGAAGTATCTACAGTTGCTATTAAATTAAGTGTATGAGCTGTACATGTCATATGTTCTGGTAAATTATATTCATTATAACGGCCAGAATTAAGTATCGAGTCCATTGTAATGATTTCAACTTCAACCTCGTCATCTGAATTATCAGAACATGAATCACCATTACCAAACCAATTTATTTCTGGACCATTTGCAGAATTTGAATGTGTTGGAATAGCAGCTTGAGAAGAAAACATTCTAAATGCTTTTCCGAAATTACTCGCGTTATCAGTAACTGTGTGAGAGATTTTAGAATTATCAATTTTATAGGTTTGAGTAATTTCGTTAATAACCTCAGCAATATTATCATAGGTATGGCTGCCTTTTATACGTCTACACCCCAAAACGTAAGATGACCTACTATAAGTATTTTCATCAATAAAATGACACGTCATTCCCATATAACTCTTGTTGTTACAACTCCAAATGTCAGCAGTAGTACATATAAATTTATGGCCAGAAATTAGTTTAGTCAACATAGAAATATACGACAAATATTTAAGTTTTAATTCTTTTAACATCACTTGTCTATCAGGAAGTGATATGTTTTCTGTGATGCCAGATAGACCTTTGATCAAACGACGAAAAGCTGGCTTTTCACAGGTTACCATGGGTCGCATTTCTTCCACAATATATTCAAAAACCAATGTAGTCACCTAAAACAAAATTAAACTATTATTATCAAAATAAAAAATTAAATCTTTGGGTAAGGTAAAGTAAGTAAATATTTGTTTTACCTATTGCTTGCTTAAGCATTAGATATTCTAATCAAATTTAAAATACATATTAAGTGAAACACAACTAAATTCTATACCTATGGGTAAGTAGATTCACATGCAAAGGGCTAGTTATTTAATTTTTACATTTAGGCCAGAGTGGCAGTGTGTACGGCTGAGTAGATAGATGAGGTGCTGTGGTCGAGTCAAAGAACGATTGTCAACATGACAATAAAAAGATAAACGATGAAAAATTTGATAAATCAAGAATTTTTTATTGTAGCTGCAATAAAACAACAAATTAATTTTGGAACATTATTTTATAAAACTATTTGTTAATTTTGAAAACTATGAATACCTTATAAATTTTAATGTATCATATTATTTATTAACTACAGATATTGTTAATTATAAAATACTTGGTAACCAACTGTAGATTTTTAAGTTAAACTTGTGAAATAAGTAGATGTCTGTATTAGGTGTTCAAGTTTCAAATGTGAAAATACCTATATAAAAATTTCTAAATACTACATTTGTTATTGCTTAAAAAATAAAATGACTTAGATACTTAACTATTCTCTAGCTATTTTAATACCTATTTAAAAGTAATATACCAACATACAATGCAATATACATGCGACATGCCCCATGTCTATTTTTGTGATATACCTACTATAAACTGCTGAAGTACTTACTTTAGTTTTTGAAATTTTATTTGACTGTGCAAATGATAATTTTGATTGTGTGTTCACATAAGGTGATGTTAAATCATCTGTTGACTTCTTTGTTTTATGAGAATCTTTTAGTTTCTTAACTTTTAAAAGACTCCCTGGATGTTTATACTAAAAAAATATACATTAAAATATAATATTAATTATTATTCAATTAGGTAAAAGTTATAGAAATATAGCACTGATGACTGAAGATACATTTTAGTACATAAAGCAATAACTTCAAATATTTCAACAAAATATGTACACGGTTATATAGCTTATATTACTCACGTTATTTTCATTATAAAACACATGTTAGTTAGGTACTTACAAAATTAATAGAACTCTCAACTCAGAAGTCTTAATGGACAATGGTAGCCCATTATAAAACAAAGTATAGGTATATAGATAGCATTTTATAATATATAATATTATCTCTAGGTAGTTGATTATTTAAGCTATTTTAATAATAGATAGGTAAAAGTAGTATGGTTTAACTCAGATGAATATAAATTATAGGTAAGTTAGTAATAACAGAATACACTAAAGAAATATTACAGATATTAATATTTTTTTATTTTTTATATTAATACTTTGGATTACAGTTGAACTAACAGGATTTTTTCTTTAAATTGTTTAATTAATGTATGCTTTTATTATAATACTAAAAATTATATAGAAAATATATTACTAGGTATACTTCCTCTTAGCCTGTAGCACAGGTACATAGATATCATGATATAATATTAACATTACGACCTATAATCAAAATGTTATATTTTGTAATTGTTTTGTAAATCAGATTATTAAATTTAAAATTAATAGGCTATACACTCTTTAGTTCATGTTCATTCTTCAGAATGCATTATTAATTAAATTGAAATTGTACCTAATATATTAATTTATGTTATACATTTATAAAACATACCTTGATGTTCATGTTCATTCTTCAGAATGCATTATTAATTAAATTGAAATTGTACCTAATATATTAATTTATGTTATACATTTATAAAACATACCTTGATGTGGCTAAGGAAATTTCCAGTAGATCCTCTTTGTCCTTGAATAACTTTTGTACATTTTTGGCACTGGGCTAGTATATTTTTATTTTCTTCTTTAATGATACTAAAAAATTGTCCATCAAAGATATAGCAATTGTTGGTACTTATTATACTATTTTCATTTGCTATTTGTGGCTCAACGAGATGGTCAGTTTGCTTTTGAAGCTTTTGCTTTTTATTTAATGTAGAGTTAGTAATAACAAAATTGTCCATATTTTAAAAAGTTTAAGTAAATATTTTACACAAAACACTAAAACTGAACTATAGTCATGAATAAATGAATAATATACTGCTAAGCTGCGAGTAGTTTGTACGATTCAACACCAGAACAGCAGAGTACAAAAAGAGTGTTATTATAATGAACAATGGTCAATGACGATTGACGAATGACGACTAATATTATAAAAGTCATACAGTAACACACTAACACAGCAACACCGTTAACTGATAATACCAAAATCAATTTTATGTATACCTAATAATAGAAGATTTCAAGATATATTATGATAAACATAACCTTTAACGATATAATAATATATATTCATAGTTTATGTTTTTGGAATGCTAATATTATTATTATATTTTATTAATAATCATTTGTCTGTTTTTCTAAGAAGTGTGGTCCGTGGCCCGTGGGTATCCTTGTTGACGTTCGGCGAATACGTCGCGTGTCGTCGATACGTTTCACTCAAAACCTATAAGGCTATAACTTATAACGTTTATATATAAATTTGATATAAATCCGATAATATTCATGATTTAAAATAATATTATATAACTATATAAGTATATATATAATATATATAGCTATATATAACTTATAATACCGATAATCGATAACCAGTGATTATAAAAGGAATGATTTGTATTATGTAGGTATAAATATAAATGTATAATAATATCTTGTAATCGGAAAATAAAAATACGTAAATAACATATAATAATATAAATATTTTTTTTCTTTAATACATACACAATCTGTACCGACTGTACCTGCGGCACAATAAGAGTATGACCAAAGTTAAAACTTAAAATAAATAAAATATGTTATCTAGATAAATTTATCTAGATGATTTATTTATTTATCTTGGATAACGTCTCAGATAACATACTTCACATTTATCTAGATAAGATAAAAGATAAAGATATACCTATCTAGATAATTTATCTAGATAAATTTATCTAGATAAAATACAACACTGATCCCCACTGACAGTGTGCTGTTTTCGTCCGTACAACATTATATCCGCATCTGCCGCTTTCCCCGACTGTCATAATAATAATAATAATAATATAAACATAACAATTACATGGAGCCCGAAACCAGCGCCGTGTAGCTCACTGGACGATTATCGTAGTTATTGCCAATAATAATATTATTATACGACAGACACGCGTCTCGGCCGATGACCACCGGGCCGAAATAAAGAGTAATAATAGTAACACGCTCTGCAGAGGTAGTTATAAAATATGAATAATTAATTAATTAGTGAAGGAAAGGGAGGCGTTATCGTAATAATTGTCGAGCGCGTCTTACGATACACATAAAGTCGGTGTGTGTGTTTGTGTGCTTACCTTAGCCAATAATAGTTATAATATTATGCGTGTGTGGGTACGCCCCGTTGTGTGTTTACGCAACTCAAATTGAATCGAATTATGATTATTACTGTGTAGTATCCATGCCACCATTTTCTCCGTACAATACACCCATATCCACATTGTTAGGGGGGGGGAGGAAGAATTGCTAAAATGAATATTTACTCATATCGATACTAATTTTTTTTAAAGTATTTTATGTATATGTTCATCGTACATGAATAATAATAATATAATATAATAATTCATGTTACATTCAAAAATATAATTATTGTCAGTTATAAAATCATAAAAATTATAAAAATCTAACATTAAAACCAACATTCGTCAGGTAAATCACTTAAGAATAAAAGTTTCTCTAGGCAAGAACTGGATAGACTATTTCTAGTTTGATTTTTTGTGGCATCGGCTTTTGAAAACTATCTTTCACACGGTTCCGAAACTTCCGATGTAGCTACAATGGAAAAATGAAGCCTTGCTTGTCTGTAGAAAAGTGGGAAAACATTTTTGATTTCCTCCCACTGCTCCAAAGGATCAGATGTTAGTGGAGAAACTTGATTAGCAAGGTAAAGTGTCAACTCGTCATTCATTGAACTTGAGGATCGATTTTCTTTTCTTTTTAATCCACCAGGTATACTTAAAGCACAAAAGGTATACTTATCTATGTCCATGATATAGGTAGTAATCTATGGGCGATACTGAGCTTATCACCATTCGCAGCGCGATCCTTTTATATTGTATTAAGTACTAATAAGTAATAACTAATAATTTATATTCTATTCGTCTTCTGATTTTTACTGTATACGATTTCAGTGATTATAATTTATTCGTAATTACTGATTTGAAAAAAAAAAATTGAGTGCAAAAATACGAGTGCATTTCTTTCGATCCAAGTAAAGTGTCGAAAAATTGTATAGATACAAAAAAGTACTCGCATCGAAAGAAAGTATCGATATTTACTAGTATCGATAATATCGCAACATCCCTACTTGAGGTTCGAAGTTCCTCTATAGTATAGAGCAGTTATAGAGTCTATACCAATGAGGCATTTTTATTTTTACTATAATAGGTATGTAACGTTTATAATAAATTGTTTGATTTAACAAAAATTTTATTAATAATGAAATTTTTGGGAACATATAATAAACTATAATAATATGACTGTCAAAACCAAAACTTAGAAAGGATTAAGTTTAATAAACAAATTAATGATAAGAATCTTTTCGGGCTTTAAGATACTTATGACAAATTATTGGCGAGAGGGGATAAAGGTTTATATAATGGCTGTTATCTATACTATACGTCACATTATATCACCATTATAATATTGTTTAAATGTTGTTAAATGTTAATGTAAAAGGGGCGCCACTTCATTGTGTACCAGTACCGCCGCATATATTCCTAATTCCTATAATTCTTGTTATACCTGAAATGGGTTTAGTGGAAAGAAGGGTGAATTAGAAATGTTGAAAATAAATTAGTAGATTTCTAGTTTCAAAATTTTAGGACAACTATGCAGGCTCACCTGAGTGGGCTACTTTAATTCTGCCCACGTATTCGTATTTTGTCTGCACAATTCGCACACGGCACACACAATTAATTGTGAATAAATTCTCACGAATAATTCGCCAAATATTAGTGAAGATTTTGAGTCGATATGATAAAGTGGCTCGAATACATGTACCTATAATATATTCATGTCACAAACGTATATAGATACTACTATATTATATTAGGTAATATACTGGTTTTAGGTTTCTAAACATACGATTAGAGCACCTTGTATCCCCGTTGTGACCGCGTGTCCGTTATTTACCAGTACATACAGTTACCATATACATAAATATTATAATATACTATACAGTTGAATAATTAATGTATAGGTAACGGTTCTATTCAAATTAAATTCATACTAGCCAAAATTAAAAATAGGTACCGAAAATATATAAAGGATACCAAATTCATTTTAAATTGTAAATGGAATACTTATATACCAGATTGTTTGTGTAGTATTAATATACGTTTTGAAACCGAGAATTTAGGAAGCTCATAGACAGAGTTTTCCTAAATTGTTTACTTTTTATACCTTGTGTAACGATGAATTTTATGGAATATCAAATACATAATATTATTATAATATATATATTATATATTGTAGGAAGTATATATTTGATCTGGTCCAGAATAGTTACAATTTACAAAACAATTATACTGTTAAAACTATTTAAAAAAGTAAAAATCACCAAGTGTTAAGATGACGCCATCGCCACACCCACATATTGTGTTGTCTACTTATCTCCATCTTACAACATAACATAGAAAATATTCTGTATTTAGCAGTTCCAATTTTGTGCAGTAAGCTTTAATATAAGTGCAAATTGACCTATTATCCAACTTGAACGTATGAATATTATTTGTATTTTATCTCGTCTATTTCGATATTATAATTTTTAAGAAAATCATGATTTGCTTAAAAATTAAATCTATGTAAAGTATTTCAATTTAAAAATTCTCATTGCTAGTTTAAAAATTTAAATATCGTGAAAAATCCTGAAGAATCTAGATACGCAGATTAATGTACTTATCTTTAAGTTTTCTAAAATAACAATTTTATGATTTACTGCACACAATTTAAACTGATGAACACACATTTTGTATGTTGTACCAGCGTTTGTATGACGCTGCAGAGACTACACGTGCTGTCGTGTCCTCATCTTTTTCCTATAGGGACTTGGCACTTTTTGCCATTACGTATATTTCTATTATTTTCTATGCACGATGACATTTTTAAAATATTTAGAATAATTTTAAGTTATTTTTTGTAAAAATCTTTTTCATCGTTCTACGATACATCAGTACAAATAATTATAAGTTAATAACAATAATCAAAATTGGCCATATTAAACTAGTTAAATTTTTTTTATTTTAAAACGTTTATAATTAACTAGTTAAAAAATGCATTTAAATAGTTTAGCGTTTCCCAATTAATTTTAAAAATAATTCATTTAAGTTGAAATACATGACCTATATACACGCACTAGACATCTATAGACCATAATATATGTATAGTTAAGGCTATCTAACTGATTATGAATTTTGTTGAATCACTGTATATCTACATATACAATGGTCTTAAATACAAATAAACTAATCGATAAACCTTGATATTATAATTTAGTTGAGACAAACATGTATCCTAAACCACTACAGTAAGTGCAATAAGAAGGAATTGTATAATGTAGGATGCATTTTATCAAACTATTTAGTTATTATTTAAAAAAAATTTCAATTTGCACAACACTATATGGGTGACCTGGGTGCTAATAACAAAAAAAAAAAAATTACTTATTTTTAACTGTTTTAAGTTTATATTTTTCTACATATTATAATATTAAATTTAAACTTGCATCATTAAATACATATTTTGTTCACAATTTGGGAATAAATTAACGCTCTGGACGTTAACTTAACTTAACTTAACTAAATAATGTACATTTTTTTCATTACCTTATCCACCTTTGGCAATCATATTATTGTATATAATATCTAATTTAATAATATAATATATGCGATGACATTTTAAAATAATAGTTTAACCTAACTTATAACTCAGAGAAAACAAATTGCTCATATTTATGTAAATACATGATAAAATATTCTTGAAAATATTTCATTTTTGCTAAAATTCGTATTTAATATCCAATAGTTATTGATTTATAATTGACTTCCAATTCACTAAATTCATTACAAATGAAGAGGTACACTCGAAATCTACTATAATAGCTTATAGGTAGTTGTATACAGCAGAACGAGTTCCTTCCTATTTTTTTTTCTTTTAATTTGCATTTAAAGAGTTCTACAACCAAGTTATAAATACAAAATTTAAAAAAATTCATATTATTATATTTAATATAATTAATAATATTAATATGTGGGCCTAGTCGCCAACTACTGTATACGATTATACGAGTATTTAATGTTTAGTTTGTAATACCATGTCAGACTATATTATAATATTATAATGACTGTATGATAAGGCGCTGGGACCTAAATGCAAAAACAGTACCTATAAAAAGAAATAATGCATATTATTTATAAATTCAATATATAACGTATAGGTACCTACCTAGACTATTCAATGTAATATTTATGTTTAAATTTAGAATTTTTTCCGGTTCAAATCATCACGAAGGTATTTCAAGAAGAATCTTTTCGAACGAATGCAATAACGGAGCATCGGTGACAATATCGTAACGCGTCTTATTATATATACGGAATAATAGTAATAATAATAATAATAATAATAATGTATAACATTCCAAGTTGATTTTTTAACATTTTTTTTTTCTTTATCTCCATTGTCGCACACAATTTATATAATATCATATTATAAACTTGTGTACTCACCTACGGACTATTTAGGCCACCGTAATTTATTACACTTGTACTAAATCACTCTGATGTATTCAAATGAGCATGTAACACAATGAATCTTTAGAGACCGGAGAAATGGTTTAAACATATTATATTATGTACCTCGCTAACCGGTCACAATGTCACATATTATATTATATGGGTGGTGGTGTTTTATTATGCATTTTTTTTTTTAATCAAAATTGAATATTCAATGGAAAACGTTCATATTTCACAACTCACGAGCACTTGCTAAGTGATACATTAAAAGAAGTTTAATGCACCTAATGTTTATCTTAACAAAATGTATTCATAAATGATAATTTTCTATTCAACTGCAGTTATACCTACTCGGAATCAAAATCTGCAGAGAGCATTTTATCGTAAATAAAACTATAAATAAAATTCTATGTTATTATTATTATTATATTATACTAGCTGATCCCGTGTACTTGGTTACCCGTTAAATGTACCAAATCTATATGACTCAAACTTTGTTCAATTCGTGTATCGTGTTCAACATTTATCTCTCCGTTACCCGGAATAAAAATTCTGATTCTCAGCAGTCAGCAGTATATTATCAGGTAGGCAATCTACCTGCTGTAGATCTCGGACCCCTTGATGTTTGTATGTAAGTGTATGATTTAACTCTAAAGTATCAAAGTTATACCAAGTTTATTGTATTCCACCTATGGTGGATTAATATAATCAGTTAATACAAAATCCTAACCGTACTAATATCAGATGAATAAAAAAAAACCAAATTTAACCATTTTTAAATTAGCCTGTATTTTTCCCAGAGGTATAATCTACACACAAACATTAATTTATTCATACATATATTGGCAAAAAAACAATTATACAAATCAACAAAAATTCCCGATTAACCAATAGCAACCAATATAAATTATAATACAATGTTGCGCCACTGTTGTATTTTTTTCATCCAGATTTCCTATTTTTCCGGTGGATTTTCCTAAAATTTTCATTCGTATAAATCTTCTCCTGGCAATTACGAACATCTTAAAAAAATGTTTGCCAAATCGGTCCCACCGTTCTCGAGTTTTAGAGAGACAAACGAACAGCAATTCATTTTTATATATATTATATACTCTAGCTGATCCCGTGGACTTCGTTGCCCGTTAAATGTACCAACTCTATATGACTCAAACTTTGTTCAATTCGTGTATCGTGTTCAACATTTATCTCTCCGTTACCCGGAATAAAAATTCTGATTCTCAGCAGTATATTATCAGGT